AAACCAACAATTAAAAACTGCCATTCTCCAGATTCTTGTTCTGGATTCCTAAAAATTTCATGGAGGTAGAAGTGCCCTTAAATGTCTCGTATCCTCCAGAACACATGTGTTTTTCCATTGCATTTAGATATTTGCTACTTCTTGCTTATTAGGTCCAAAAACACATCATCATATAACAGAGTGATGTTCTAGGAAATGTGAAATGATTAAAATGCCTGCACATTAGATTTCAGCCGAGCTGGAAGGAAAGTTATGATCAACATAGACAGCATATTAAAAAGCAGAGACATTACTTTGCCAACAAAGGTCCATCTACTCAAGGCTATGGTTTTTCCAGTAGTCATGAATGGATGTGAGAGTTGGACTATAAAGAAAGCTGAGTGCCAAAGAATTGATGCTTTTGAACTGTGGTGTTGGAGAAGACTCTTGAGAGTCCTTGGACTGCAAGGAGATCCAACCAGTCCATCCTAAAGGAAATCTCCTGAATATTCATTGGAAGGACTGACATTGAAGCTGAAACTCCAATACTTTGGCTACCTGATGTGAAGAGCTGACTCATTTGAAAAGACCCTGATGCTGGGAAAGATTGAAGGTGGGAGGTGAAGGGGACAACAGAGGATGAGATGGTTGGATAGCATCACTGACTCAATGGACATGAGTTTGGGTCAACTCCGGGAGTTGGTGATGGACAGGGAAGCCTGGCGTGCTGCAGTCCATGGGGTTGCAAAGAGTCGGACACAACTGAGCGACTGAACTGAACTGGAGAGGTGCTACTACCTAGACGTATGACAGTAAGCAGTACTGTTGACTTTGACAGGTAAAAGTAATCTGCTTTTCATGATTTCTGTTCTTTGGGTGAGAGAAAAACATCACATTCCATGGTCAATAGCTGTATGGCTGCAGGTGCTGGGGCAGGTGTTGATTTGCTTCAAAGTGATCATATCTGAAATAACAGCTACAAGTCAAGTCTGTTAAATAACTTAAATGTAGATAAGATAGGGATCACCATTGGAATTTCTCAAGTCTTTGATGGTGGTGGTAGTTTTTATCATGCCCTCAGGGATACACTATTGCTTTTGGCTCATGGTTCTGGTGGAGGAGAGTTCCAGGGGCTTTCCTTTGCTTTTCTTCCCACAATAACTTGCACTCTGCAGATCAATGTGAAGATTCTGCCCAGTGCCAAATACACCCATTACAATTGTGCTTATAGGAACTTGGAAATAACCAGGGTGGATATGTGAGATAGATCCAGGCTGAGATTCCTTATAAATTACACGATCCCTGTGTATTACTTTGCTAGGTATGCAACAAAGGACTACAAATTGACTGACTTAAGCAATACGAATTTATTGTCTCACAGATCTGGAGACTAGAAGTCCAAGATCAAGCTGTCGACAGGGTTGGTTCCTGCCGAGGGCTGTTAGGAGGAATTTGTTCTATGCCTTTCCCCTAGCTTCTGGTGGTTTGCTGGCAATCTTTGGCATTCGCTGGCTGGTTCCACCACATCATCCAGATCTCTGCTTTCATCTTCACATGGCATTCTCCTGGTATGAGTGATTCTTTGTCCAAAGTTCCCCTTAGGCCCAATCATATTGGATTAGGGTCCCACTCTACTCCAGTATAATCTCATCTTAATTATACCTACAACAACCCAATTTTCAAATAGGGTAACATTCTGAGGTATTGGAGATTAGGACTCCTACATATGAATTTTCAACCCATAACACCTCATAAGGATATATATATACATATATTTTTTTTTTGGTTGTACCACACAACTTGTGGGATCTTAGTTACCAGACCAGGGATTAAACCCATGCCCCTGAAAGTTGGCTTCCCTCATAGCTCAGTTGGTAAAGAATCTGCCTGCAATGCAGGAGACCCTGGTTCGATTCCCGGGTCGGGAAGATCCTCTGGAGAAGGGATAGGCTACCAGCTCCAGTATTCTTGGGCCTCCCTTATGGCTTAGCTGGTGAAGAATCTGCCTGCAATGCAGGAGACCTGGGTTCAATCCCTGGGTTGGGAAGATCCCCTGGAGAAGGGAAAGGCTACCCACTCCAGTGTTCTGGCCTGAAGAATTCCATGGACTATACAGTCCATGGGGTCACAGAGTCGGACATGACTGAGCAACTTTCACTTCACCTGGAGTGGAAACTCAAAGATCTTAACCACTGGAACGCCAGAAAGTCCCAAGCCTCTATTTTTAACTAGTGGTCCATAAAGACTTTTTAGTTTCCTTGAGATTAGTACTGGTTTAGGGTTTATAGTTTCCAAGTGTTTCCTAAAGGCTTGGGTATTTCCAGTTCCCTAAGCACAGGACATAGTTAATTGACTTAAGATTCCTTTGGGGAAGGCTAGAAGATTAACTGTTTAGTTATGGTAATAGTGCCGGGTGCTTCCCTCAGAGCTTTGGTCTGAGAATTTAGTGAGTGTCCATGACCCTCCATTTTGGTAACTTAAAACAGGCCTCCCTTTGCCAGAATTTTGCTTTGTGTTAAGCAAACCAAGCAGGACCTTAGTAGGTTATATTTCATCACTCCTGCTGTTGCCTTTGTATTGCTTCTTGGCCCCTGCCGCTCTAGGATCCTGTCATCCCTACTGATATCAAGGATTCCATTTCAATGGCAACATCTCTAAGCTTCATCCCCAGCCTATAGGGGATATACACTATAGCATTTTCAAAGTGAGGTGTCCCCTTATCTATGCACTTTCTATTTTTATGTGTGTGTGTGTGAAAGAAATGTCCTCTGAGCAATTCCGGAGGCAGAATTAGGAGATGAGTACATACACATATGATAAATCTACACCAACTCTACTATCTCTATGTTTTTGCATTCAGCTTCTAATACTATAGTAAGAAATTTTTAGCAAGTGTTCAGTTCAGTTCAGTCACTCAGTCATGTCCGACTCTTTGTGACCCCATGAACCGCAGCACACCAGGCCTCACTGTCTATCACCAACTCCTGGAGTCTACCCAAACCCATGTCCATTGAGTTGGTGATGCCATCCAACCATCTCATCCTCCGTTGTCCCCTTTCCCTGCCCTCAATCTTTCCCAGCATCAGGGTCCTTTCAAATGAGTCCACTCTTAGCAAGTGTAGACCCCTCTTAAGTCCAGGTTTCATCCAACCAACCAGCTAAGAGCTATTCTTAGCTGCTAATGCCAATATACTGATTCCAGAATCTCTAGAATGCCCATATTAATAAACTCAACCAAATGAAAATAAAATTATGTTCGTTTCTTCCTGGTCTAACACCTTTAGAATCCAGTCCACACATGTTCATTCCCCAGGTTTCTACTGATTCAAATGAGCAAAATCTTATAATTCTGTAACCTTCCCTTCTCTAAGGTCAGATTTTGTGGTTACCCACTCCAGAATTCTGGCCTGGAGAATTCCATGGACTGTATAGTCCATGGGGTCGCAAAGAATCGGACACGACTGACTTTCACTTCAATATGCTTCTGAAGCATATTGGGATCTGACTCTAGCCACAGATCTGATAGTAATAAGGGACAGCAATAAGCATTTCCTTTCAACGCAACTACCCAAGGTCTCCAAGTAAGACAGCACCAGCCCTATCAACAGGAGGAAGAAGGGCTGCTTCTGCTGGTAAGAGAAGCAAAGTATATGTCTGATTTCGGAAGCTAAGCAGGGTCGGGCCTGGTTAGTACCTGGATGGGAGAAGCAAAGTGTAGAGTTTGTGGGTTCAGAACACTAGGATTTATCCAAATTTACTCAAATGTCCCCATTTTTCACTTTACTCTTTCCCAAACAGCATCCTAATTTTCACCTAAGAGACCTGGTAAGCTAAGAATTTAACTTATGTTGTAATTCAGTAACCCAGAATCTCTCCTTGTGGTTACAAAAGACAGCCCCGAGTTGAAAATTTAAAAGCACTTGAGACTTTCACTTTCTTTTTTTAACCTCTCTAGCAAAAGCACCACCATTTATGTCTTCATTTCTTACACAGTGGTCTGTTGTGGCAGCCACTTGGTCTATCAAAGTCTTTTATCCAAAAGACAGTTCATTTAACATGACCACAAGTATAAATAATCTTTGCTTACCAGCTTACCATTTTCCAATGACAACTAGATTCTCACTTCCTTCAAATCCAACTTAGTCACAACTAAGCAAGAATCCCATTTTTTAGGGCCTGTTATCTATAACCAGTTTTGGAACCTAATACTGTTATCGGTTAGGGTTCTGAAACTTCAGGAAACAAAACTGTTCCACCTATTTTAAGTAGAAGAGAATTTGATACAGGTAAATTAGGTGTTTACAAAAGAACTGGAATGTTGGGCAAGTGAGCTCTAGGCTGGGGTGTCCAGGAGACTCCCAGATTGGCCCACTATGAGAACTGCTACCTCTGCCACCATCAGGAAGAGGAACCAGGAGGCCAGCACTGGCTGACTGTGAGACCATACATCACGAACAGTTATTTATGCATCAGGAAGCCCCTTTGACATCCACACAAAAACTGATGGATACTGGTATACCGCTAGAGGGAAACCTAAGTGCTCTGTATCTTTGCAGGAGCAATAAAGGTTGCTAAAGATGACCCTTGAATCACTTCCTCAACATCCTTGTTTGTGCATCTAACTGGCAAAGCAGATTACATTCAGAACCTTGATTTCAAGGAAGTATAAGACATATAGTTTTAACTTTTCAGTCTCTAGAGTACAAGAAAGTACATTAGAAAGAGGTCAGAGTGAATAAGTACCCATTTATCATTTCCACAAATTTCTTTCCATTGGCCCATCCAAGTAGGGTTGGTGACCAGACATGCCCCAGTTTTAGCCTTTTAAAGTTGACCACAAACACCCCATCTGTCTGGCTTTGAAGATGACTTCTCCTCCTGGCCTCAGAGGAACCTAAAATGTCCTTGTCTACACAATCTTGTCCTCAGCCACCTTTTCAACCTATTACTTTACTCCTCCTTCGTTCACTCTGTTCCAGCCATTTAGGCCTCTATGTATGTGTTTAAACAGACTAAGGATGTTCCATCAAAAGGTGTTTGTACTTTATTCTTCATGTCCGGTATATTCTTGCCTAGACACATGGTTCTTTCTCATTCAAGACTCTTAAAAAAATGTACCTTTATCAAAGAGGTCCACAGTACCTACCTAAAGCAGCACCATCTACTACTCTTTTTGCTTTCCCTGCTTTCTTTTCTTCACTGCATTTATCCTCATCCAGACTATATATCTTGATTGCTTTTTCCCACTACAGCGTGAGTTTCACAAGGTCAGGCATTTCTGTGTTTTCCTTATTGCTGCATCCTGTACCTGAAACAGTAGGTATTTCAGAATGAGTGAACACTGCTGTACAAAGAAAGTCAGCTTTCCCCATTTTCTAAGCTGAGAATCAACTTTTCCCACGCACTACTCATGTTCTCCTCCAGGTGGTGCTGACTGGTCTTTTTGTCTGCTAATGTCTAGGATACACAACAGTGTTGCAAAGGAATAGAGTAAGCTTGCTTTTTCATGGCCTCTGGTCTAGAGTTGTGAGCTTTTTTTAGATGGCACCCATAATCTCCCTTAATTTATTTCTTCTTATTCCTATGGGAGAAAAAAATATATATGGGCCTTTAACAAAAGCATTTTTGGTACGCCATCTAACAATCTTTACAATTCCATGATTAGGACCACAATCCCCACTTCGGCTAAGTGAAAACACACACAACTCTCATAGCAGTTAAGAACTGGAGTCTAGATAGTAATACAGCTGTGGCTGCAAACTCCTGCCCCTTCAGAAGACTTCCTTGATTTTATCCTGTTAATTGCTCCCTTGATGAGGCTTCAAGAGAAATACAAGTCTTTGAGTTGATAATTTGCATTTCAGAGATTCCCATACTGTCTGCCCCTTTCCCCAACAAGTTCCCTTTTTCACACAAAGACACCCTCTCCGGCATTCTTCCAGAGATCCAAAGTCCACTAACAGCACTTCCCGTCCCAGGTGCAGGGCAATGTGCTAAGTCTGGATGCAGTGCCCAAGAGATAAGAATCTTCCAAGTTGGCTGTTGTCCAGGCTCATCATCCTCATCGTAGTAAAAGCACAGGCCAGGAAGACAAAGAGCAGGTGCATCTGTGAAAGGAAACAGAAAGCCATCTGGTCCTCAGGGAAAGGATGTTTTCAATTCTTACTCTGGGCCCAGGGTTAAAGTGACAGAGAAGTTTGGCACTTGGAAGCTCCTTAAATACTTACTTACTGTCTGAGAGTCAGTAAATCAGGGGCCTGAGAGAGTAACTGATTCAAACAGTCACAAAGTAAATTACTGCCAGATTTGGAAACTCACATCAGGTCTCATGAATCTTTTAATTTTTCTGCTATACTATGTATGAACATTCATTTCTAAGACCATTATTCTAGATAGCGCCAAGACCAAGGAGTAGCTCAATTCTGACAAATTTATAAGATCAGATAAAATTAAACATGCTGTGATTTTGATGGCATGTCTCCTCTCTCCTTTCATTACAAATTCTAGTCAGATTCCTTTGTCCCTCTTACTTAAAACTAGATTGGCAAAACTAGAAAGTTGTTTTTTCCAACAGGGAATGTGTACCGGAAAGCATAACACACACCTAGGTATTGCTTAGTGATTAAGCAGAGTAGGTAAATTTCTTCATCTAGGAAGAATCCTCTGTTCCCCAACTTAAAACCATGCAACATTTACTGGGATTTCTGAAGAGCCGGTGGAAGTGACACCCCTTTCCTCCTTGGAAGCACATTTCTAATAAGTACGATGCAGAAAGGGGTAAATAAAGCTTTAACTGCACAGCTGCCTCTAGAGGGCATCTGAGTGACTCCAGCTAATTCTTCAGTCTGACTACACAGTCCAAAACAATCTTGGCTTTGCTTTCTGTCAAGCTAGGACTCGTAGGTTTATAGGTGAATGGCAACCCACTCCAGTACTCTTGCCTGGAAAATCCCATGGATGGAGGAGCCTGGGAGGCTGCAGTCCGTGAGGTCGCAGAGTCGGACACGACTGAGCGACTTCACTTCCTTCCATTGCAGTCTGGTTAGAATACCATCTTTCTTCCCTGGGATTAGGAGAGTTCAGATTTATAGACTGTTAAAGATGTAGTGGTCTGTTTCAATCAAACTCTTGGCTCTGGAGGACTATCCAAGCCAAGGAAAATGAGAGAAGCTGAATTACGACAGAAATTTTTATTTATTAAAATGTGTCCTTCAGTAATATGTTAGCATACATACAATATACACACATACATCTGTACACTCTTTGACACACCTCACGGATTGCCACCATAAGTTTAACCAATAAATTAAAACTAAAAAAGGGGAGGGCAACGGAGATGTGGGGATGCATGGAACTAAGGGCAAAATTTCCATATTTCATCTGGTAAGAAACTGCAAATTTATCAGAATTTCCCTGGGGAAAACCTGTGACCAGAGAATCTCTGAAATAAAAGTACAGAAATCCCTGCCCCCCCAAAAGATTCCAAAAGATGCAGTTACAAGTGTGCTTCTCAGAACAGGAGCATTCATTCCACTTCATACTCTGGCTTCTGCATCTTCTGGCCTCAAGATAGTCTTGCCCTCAGCTGGGGCAGAGAGGTTCATATGGGCACTTGGGCTTGGTGCACCTGGGGCTCTGGGTGTTGAGGGGCAGGCTGCAGCTTGGGAGCGAGGGGAGCCACACTCATCTGAGGTGATGTCTGGCACGTCATCTGACTGTGTATCAGAGCTCTCAAGGTCACTGCGGATGCTCTCGGGTTGGGCCAGGCTGATGTCCCAAGGTTTGCTGGCCAGGCAGTCTTTCTGTTCACAGCTTTGGTGTTTGCAGGGGGGGTCCTCTTCACCATTGCCACTGCTGCTGGCACCACCACCACCTCCACCACCATCTTCTTCTTCATTCTCTGCCATCTGTGCATGAACATGGAGTGAGTCCTCTGTACTGCTTCCACTCACTAGCTGATAGTGACTTGGTTTGGCTTCAATGTCCACTTGGATTTCCATATTGTTGCATTCTCTGTGGAGACAAAATCCACTTTGCTGAATCATGCATGGGTCATGCTACACCTGTTGGTAAAAGCAGTTCGTGGGTTCAGGATTAGAAAGTCCCAAAATATAGGTAAATAGTAGACTAGAGCTCACTTTTAGATAAAAATAAAAGTTAATCTAGTACTCAAATAAGACGGAGAAGAACAATTAGATCTCCTTGATTTAAAATATGCACACAAACATCTCTGACAATTTATTTCTTTTTAAATTTTTATTGGAGTGTAGCTGATTTACAGTGTTGCATTAGCTTCTGCTGTACTGCAGTGAATCAGTTATACCTGTACACATAGCCACTCTTTTTATACCCACTCTTTTCAAAGATTCTTTCTCCACATAGGTCATTATAGAATATTGAGAAGAGTTTCCTGTGCTATATATCCTTATCAGTTATTCTGCCAATTTCTTTAAACAACTAAAAATGAGCTTCCAAAATTCAACTAAGGATCAGAACCTCACACTATCTTCCTCAAAATATGAGAGTGAAAGCGTCACAGCTTTTTATTTCTCTGCTACAATGAGAAGAAACCAGAATCTCTCCAGTAGGGAGTGCTGTAATCACACCATACGAGATACACTAGCTTCTCAAAAATAAATAGGCTACAGAAGTCACATCAAGCAAGAATCAACGTTAAGAGCAGAAACCATAGAGCCATAGACATCAGTGAATATCCATCTAGCTTGTTAAGTTCCATGTGAATAATTACACTGTTACAACAGCCAAAAAAAAAGAAAAAGGAAAAGAAAACCTCTAAAAATCAAGTGCTAACAAGAAGAATCAATCAAGGATGCCAAACACTCCCATACCAAGAATGTGCTCAATGAATCTACAGGGTATACACACTATGTATCCCACTATATGGTACATAGAGCCCTAACATGAAGCATTGAGCTTCTAAGGCCAAAACTCAACCAAAAAATGCAACTTCTCCTAGGCATCTGACTGTTCACATACCTGTCCTGTGGGTTGTAGGAACTGATTATGGAACCGGCCATAGCACGAGTGCTTGCGTTGTCACTAATTGCACCAAGACTGGCTGTGTCTTTGGGGAAAATTTCCTTTTGGACATCGGCTTGGACTTCTAACCTGTGTAAAGAGGGGACGTTTAAGTTAATATGAGACCTGGGTATTCCAAGACAGTCTGCTTCCTGGCACATACCTCTTTCATTATTCTCTTGCAAATTTGAGTTGATCTGATCTTCTCCAAAAGCCAAATAGCTCAAAGAGATGCCCACACATTTTTCTCTCTTAAAGTTATCTATTGAAATCGTCCCCTCCTTTCCATCCCCACTGCTATTGCTTAACTTCAGGCTCTCAACAGCTCCCGCATGGGTAACTGCAATTGTGCTCTCTCCAGTGGCCGTAAGTCCAAGTCAAACAACTTTGAGATCAGTGCCAAAATGGACAATAACCTGATCACTCTACCAGCCCCTTTCTTGGCTCCCTCTTGCCATCAGGCATTTAAGGTCTACCTGATCTGCCTCCAAGCTCTGTCTCCAGTTCCACCTCTTACCATAGGTCCTAAATCCTAATCACATTGGATTTCTTCCCCCTTACACACCTATACACATTTTATACCTCTCTGATTTTGCATATGCTAGTCCCTCTCTTTGGAAGTTTCCTTTCTCTATGTGACAAACTCATACTTAGTTCTTAACAACAAAGGAAGCATTATCTCCTCCCTTCATTCTTCCATCAAACCAGTCACCTTCTGCGAAGTGCTCCACAGCAACTACCTATTTATTAAATCAGTTTACACATCTCCTTCCCACTCAGTTGTGAGCTCCAAAAGAGGACAGGCCACATCTCATCCACACTTTACCCTACATGTCTTGCACGTACTAGGAACTTAAACATTCAGCAATCAAATCACCCCCAGGCTATGAGTTTAAAGGACACTTAAGAGTCAACCTCCAACAAGGGCAGCAAACTTTCCCAATGGTGTCTCGGAGGACCCATAGCTTTCCCTATCTTGGCTCCAATATCATTTGGTTGCACATTTAAGTATTTCCTCATAATGGGTTTCACAGTCAAACCCATCTGACTCATTCACTTCCTATAAAAGGCTTTCACAGAACTGGAACAGCTGGCCTGGCTAAGCTGCAGTTTCAGCAAGTCAGTCCCCAATTATGTCTGCTTATTTACAGGGGTGTTGGTTTTAAGAAAGCACAGCAGTGAATTCTCCAGCATGTGGAGGCGGGATCCCCTAACAAGAGAGAATCAGAGTCAGGAGATACCAACAGGTCAGCAGCAGTCTACAGCTGCACATTCAGTCAACCTCCATCCTGCTGTCTGAGTCTCTGCTCTGCTCCTCCAGCCTTAGATGCCCTTCAGGAATGTGCCATAGTCCAGGAAAATGAGGTAGTGCAATGGAAAGCGCATTGAGTCAGAGACCTGGGTCCTAGTTTCAGCTCTGCCATAGATCATTCTCAGAACTGGAAAAGGCCTTTCGCAAAGGCCATCTCCTTGGGTGGTTCCTAGAAGCTGGTCTGTGCAATGGCTATGCTAGAATCAGCTGGGGAGAATTTTCAAAACAGAGATTCCTAGGTCCCACTCTGGGAGATTCTAATTTATTAATTCTGGGATAAGGCACTGCAATCTATTTTTAAAAGGCTCCCAAGTGAGTGACACGCACTCAGGTGTGGGATCCAGCCCATCTGACAACTGCTGCTTGACCTTCTAATAGCCACATGGCCCTCTGGTCTCACTTCAAATACTTCTAGAGGTATAGAGCTCAATATCTACTGATATAATCCATTCCTTCTTTGGACTTTATACAGATTTTTCCTACAGTCTCTATAATGAAACAAAATTCATTTCCCTCTAGCCTCTGCCGAATCATCTTAATCTATCCCTTGGCATGAGGCAGAAGTCTTAATCCTTTTTTCCACTTCAAGGCCCTTCAGATAACTGAAGGCAAGCATCTCCTCTACCTCTGTACCTTGTTTTGTATCACCTTTACCCCTCCTCAGGCCTTTCTTCTCCAGTGCATTCAAATAACTGCTTCTCACGTAACATCTGCTATGCTACTCTGAATATGTTCTGTTTTATCTACCTGGTGAAACAACCAACCAAGTCACAACTATTTTAGTCATAAAGACTTACATATTCTGAACACAAGTTTATAGAATTGATTTTTCTTATCAAATGGGAATCAGAACAGGAAGGTTATAAGGATCACAGTATCAATAAGCCAACAGGGTACAGCATAAATGCTGTTCAACTAAAAGCCAGTGACAAGCCTAATGGAGGACATAGTCTTGGGAATTCTACAAAAATGCATGCTTTCCCTTCCTAAAAGAGGCAGCCTAACACAGTAGAGGGAGGATCTGAAGTCAAGATTATTCTTTATATGGAGTCACTATGGTACAGTGGGAAGAAACACAGAACTTTTATGTTGCGTCACTCAACCTTTTTAGCCTGTTTTCTGATTGTAAAAGTTAAAAGAAAAACAAAAAACTCCACCACTGATGATTAAATCAAAATGAGATGCTATATGAGACATGCCTGACACAGAGAAATGGTTCAACATGATATGTCACTTCTCATAATTCTAACTAGTTCTGTCAGAAATTGCTTACCTGCTGTATTTTCCCTTGCCACTGGAAAGAATACCACCACTCAGTGTGCCCCCTGAGAGGGCTGCAAAGCTGGCTGTTTCGCTGTATGGACCTTGCATAACACTAAGTCCATCTGTAGGGCTTCCACTGGTGCTCAATACGCTAGTTAGACCTTCAATGCTACTTTCCCCAATGCTGGGATTCTTGAGGGCTCGCCAGGCATCTGCCACTGGGGATGGAACCAAACATCACAACTGAAGATAGCACAACATCAAAACAGGGTCTGGCATCTTCTTGCAATGACTCTTCAGAGTAGAGAATAGTCATGTAGAAAAATACTCATTTATTCACTTAATGAATAGCATCTACATTCAGCCACCACGTATCAGGTATTTTAACATATGCTCACATTTAATTTTCCAAAGAAATAGGAACTAATAACCCCAATTTTAAATGAGGAAATGAAAGCTTAGAACTAAATGCCTTGTCTATGGTCAGTCACACAATACTACCATGTGATTCTGAGTCCATTATTCTTTCCATTATACTACAGATGCCACCTAATCAAACATAAATATTTCCAAATACATTTAGGTCATGTGCTGATTCTAGTAGGAAGTTTGAAAAATCTCTGGGGATCTGTGTCTCTTAGGTTAGTTAATACGGTAAAGTGGAAACAACATCAAAGTGTAAGTCAGAAGATCTGCTATAGTTCCAGCTCTTCAGAAGTTCTTAAACCCATTTAACAGATGTTGAGACAAAGGCTTAAAGAAGTTCCCATTAATCGGGGATAATAACAGTCCCGGTCCTCTCTCTTCAGAGCTGTTGTAAAAACCAAGTGAAATAATAACTGTGTAAAGTCTTCTGAAAATTATAAAGTATTGTGCAGATATAAGACTTTATTATAATTATATAATTTACTATTATCAGCATACTTAAGAGTTACTTGGAGTCCTACTAGTTTGTACCTGCCACACAGAGGCAAGTACCAGAGGAATTAACCTAGTAACTCTGGAACAAAGAAATGAAAAGCTAAAAATACTTTACCTCCTATAAAGCTCATTATCCAAAGTAATCCAATGTCAATCTCTCTGTAAAATGTGCTGGAATTTTACTGACTTTTATCTTGTGTCCCATAAATTCAAAGGGAAATGAAAATTCTTTTACCTGTGATTGGACCATCATCTTCATCAAACTCAATTTTCACTCCCTTTCCATTGGCTGTACTAACTCCACAGCCACCTCCTCGACAGAGAGAAATAGGCACAACCCCATAGACATAAGCCAGCATAATAGGGACGCCAATACCTAGGGAAGAGAAGGAAACATGTCAGCAGGCCACTGGGTTGCAGCTGTCCTGAATTCTCCTTCCCATAGCTGAAGACAGACAAACCACTTTATAAAGGGTCGAAGAAAGACAGAATAGGACTATGCTAAAGAAGCAGCCTGATCTAACAGAATGATGACTGGACTTGGAATCAGAAAGGCCTGGGTTAGGATCCTGGCTTCAATTTACCAGCTATTGCAACCTTGGACATGTCTTCCTTGGGTTGCCAACAATCAATGCATGCATAGGGCCTAGCACAGCACATGTATGTTGCTTTCATTTCCCCACTTCCATTCATTGCTGAGATGCTAATCCCAGGACGAATTAATAATCAAATATGAAACAAGTGACTCTAAGGGTTCAGGATCCCCGCCCCACCCCTGAGTGTTAATTCTAAAATCTTACTGCTGTGGAAGGCAGAAGGGCTTAGTTGTTAAGAGCCCAGACTCTGAAGTCAGACTGCCCTGATTCATGTCCCAGAGGTTATTGCAACTTCTGTCACAACTATGCTGTTGTGAGGATTAAATGAATACATACAGGTAAAACCCTCAGACCTGCTCCCGGCAAATGGAATTATGTTATTGTTATTCTAAAACAAACCCTCATGCCTCCCAAAATACTGTGAGGCATTAAGTAAATCAAAATTTTGTTTTGTGGGTTTTAATGGCAAGTGGAGAGGGAAGAGGAAAGGTAAAAAACTAGGCCTTAAAGTAATATCCTTTAATTCAACCTTTTTGTATGTGCCAGATGGAGTTCTAGGTACTAACTTAAGAATAAAAGATTCCAAACTTTGATACTTTACTGTGGCTGATAATAATAATGAAAGTGAAGTGTTATTTGCTTAGTTGTGTCCGACTTTTTGAGACCCCTTGGACAGTAGCCTTCTAGGCCCCTCTGTCCATGGAATTCTCTAGGCAAACATACTGGAGTGGGTTGTCATTCTCTTCTCCAGGAGTTCTTCCTGACGTGAAGATCAAACCCAGGTCTCCCGCACTGTGGGCAGGTTCTGTACCATCTGAGCCACCAGGGAAGCTTGATAATAACCACAATAACAGTGCCTACAAGAGTTAACTCCCAAGGAGGGTCTGACACAAAAACGTAGGAGCCTCCAGAGGTGAAACATCTGGCCAGCTGGCTAAACTGTGAGGCCAGAAAGCTGATGGGAGTAGGTGCGGTGGGGTGAGGTCAGGTTGGGGAGGGAGTCGTAGTCTTGGCCAGCTTCTTACCAACGCTAACCGCAGCAATGACAGGGGATGCGATGACTGACAAAGTCACTCCTCCTGTGATCGCCAAATTCCTCTTATGTTTGGAGGTTTTCCGTCCCTCATACCTGCTATGAATCTAAGAAGAAAGAAAATCCAAGTCAGCGAGTTAGGACATCAATCTTTTTGCTGGGGAGAAAAAAGATAAGTAAATATTCCCTTATAAGTTATCTATATTAAAACATAGTCCCTCATCTCAAAGAGACATCTTTCTCACATTTTAATCTAACTCAGACCAGGAAGGTATAAACTAATATGAAAAAGTTAATACAAGAAGAGACAACGTAGGTGAGTGAAGTAAGCATTCACCTTTAAGTCACTGAGACAAACCAGGCCCAGGATGTTAATAAGAACTTTTAGATCTCTTGCGGGGTTTATGAAAATCCATTTAAGAAACTAATGTCATTATTATTCAAGAACCAGTTGGCTTTCAGGCAGCGCTGAAATATAAGTTCCTCCCCATTTCCTTCAAAACTCTACCAATAAACCCGAAGTTGGAACAGGGACAGAATTCAACATCTTACCTTCCTACCAACATAAACAGGAATGCCGATGACCATGGCAGGAATGGCAATGCCAGCAATGAGGGAAATCCCCACTGGGGCACCAATCAATGTGCCCAGCTGCCAAAGAATTTTCTTCTTACGGCTCCATGGCTTCTTGCCCCAGAATGTACAGCCAGAGGGGCTGCAGAGGAAATATGCCAAAGTTAATGTCAATATTACAAATGCAGCTGTTGTTACTAGAGAGTTTGATAAGAGCAAGAGCCTTCTTTTCCATAAAAGTGATTAATAGTTATAGGAGGTTATAAGAAATGAATATATTGCATAAGGGGAAGCAAAGCCCAAGGTGAGACTATTAAGAGTTCTGGTTCTTTAATTTTTTTGTAAAGGCAGGTTCCTAAACTTGAAACTTCTTTTTCATTCTTTTCTGCTGAACTCTATCCTCTCTAACCCACCAAAATGAACCTACTTCTTTGTGTGATACTACACGGGAACCTATATAGTCTATGCACTTGACATCTCATCCAAACATTTTGTATCTTGCAGTGAAGGAACTCTCTTTGATTTGCATGGTTTTCTTGGCATATATAGACACTGCAAATCATGTTCCTGGGATAAGATATAAAAATATTTCATCACACCCTTTACAACAGTTTCATACTCTGAGTTTGGCTACTTTTACACTTAGTTGTTCTGAGTCCAACCATTTTTGTTAACTCCCTTTGTGCTGTCTTTTCTACTAGATACGGTAAGCAATTTTGAAAGTTAGCGGTCATGTCTTATGTACTCCGGTGTCCGTAATAAACCGGTATACTGTAATGCTTGCTAAATTGAAAATGAAAGTGTTTCATCCACACAATGAATGTTAAATTTGCAAATATTACCTCCTTCAGGACAATATTTGAATGACTACTACACTGAAGGAACTGTAAAAAGGTTAACACTTAACCTTAAGTGTTCATAATACAGCTTAACAAAATTAGACATGTAAACGAAGTAAAAGTCATAATGATGTTTATAAAGGAACATGTAAAGAATGTCAGTAAAGAAGAATGAAGCAGAAAAAGCTGGGGGAAGGCATCACAGATGGAATGGCATTTAAAGTGGCTCTTGAAGACTGGATAAGAAACGAACAGGTGGAGATAAAATGGGGTTGCTGGGAGGTGAGGTGATTAGAAAGCATTCCAGGCAAAGGAAAGAACATGAATGGTCAGGGAGCTAAGAGCACAGAAGAGACACAGATAATCTGGGATACAGTATTTATGAAAGCAAACTGGAAAAAGTTAGAAAGTACATTGGGGCTAGACTGTAAAAAAAAACCTTCAAAGCCATCCTAAGGAAGTTGAACTCTACCTGGAAGGCTAGGGAAAACAGTCACTGGAAGTTGCTGAGCTGGAGAAAAACATGATTGGAAGGGTGTTTCAGAGGAAGTTTTTACAGCTTCCTTATGCTGTAATGAGAGGACAGATGATGTCTCTTTGACATCCTTTTCCCTCAATCAGTAAGGGATGAAGACTATAAATAAAAACAATGGACCTACTGTTTTTATGGTCTTGTTCTCTCACTGATTTAGGTAAAAGGATGTCAGAGGGAAGGGTGAGACGAATTGGGAGAGTAGGATTGACATATATACACTACTGTGTGTAAAACAGGTAGCGAGTGAGAAACAGCAGTATAGTACAGGGAGCTCAGCTTGGTGCTCTGTGATGACCTAGAGGGGTGGGATGGTGGAGGTAGAAGGGAGGTTCAAGAGGGAGGGGATATAAGTATACATTTTAGCTGATTTATTTACTTCATTGTACAGCAGAAACTAACACAACATTGTAAAGCAATTATACTGCAAAAAAAAAGGACACTTTCTCATCTCACCTGAGGTAATGCAAGTCTGAGATCTCTTTCATACAAAGCCAACAGAATTCACAGCCACACACTGCACAGGTCATATGATTACAGCTTCCATCATTCATCTTGATAATGTAAGCACTGCATCGTGGGCATGGCTTGATGTCATCTGCTGAGGGGAGGGAGGAAGAATGGGTAGAAAAATACCCCTACTTAAACCTAGTTTGGTTTTATTATTCCCAGGAGTATGCATAAGAAATGAGGCAGTCAAGAATTTCTGACTGAGGATTCCAGATTGTGCAACCCACTTCGCTGGAAGGCTGGCTACGTCTAGACCTCAGGAAATTTCATAAAACGGATCCTGTCTCATATTGAGCTGCCTATCCCCCAAACTGGCATCTTCCACAGCACGTGAGCCACACTCGGAGCAAAGAGACTTCCCTAGAGAGAGAGACGGTTCCAAGAAAAATGGAATTTCAGCAGTCAATAGGCTGGCAGAATTAAAAGCACAGTTCTACAGGAAGAACAGTCTGTAGCCTGCATTTGGCTTTAAGTCTTGAAAAATCTTAGTTCAGGAAACTCCTTTCACAGTTTCAACAAGTATCACTGCGGTTTGTTGTTAATACAATACACAGCCTCTTGCCATGATACTTTAAAATTCAAAACCTAAAAACAACTGTGTGTGCTATGTAGCATACACCTGGTAATTTTCACAGCAAGCTAGGAACTAACCTATTAAAAACAAAAAGTTAGGAGATTAGGTTGTGCCAGGAAAAAGTGAATGGTAAATCTTTCCTACTAGCTTCCCCAAATGACATCAGTGAAATTAAGCACATTTATAAAAGGTAATAAGCCCAAAGACATTTTAAAATAGGTTTCCTTTGACATGTCAAGGTTGAAACTGAATGTGTGATACTCCTTCTTTTAAGGTTAATCATTAATCCATACTAACATCACTTGCTTTCCTCAAATCTGCACCCTACTTCCAAAAACAGTGATGTACTTAAAGCTAGTAGGAAAACAAAATAGGTTTAATACCAAATGTCTTTCTGCTCACGATGAAAGGACTGAAAAAGCCCCTAGCAAAAGTACCTAACTGCTCTCCAATCTGAGACATATTACTAAAAAGGCAGAAACTACAGAATTCAGTTTTGCTTTATTCCAAGTCACCTGGGTTGGACAGTCTATAAATGGCCAGAGAGAGAAGCTACATATTAAATATAGTATTGAGAGTATTACCAAATAGTTTCTGCTTTCTAATCCTTGAGTCATACATTAAGGTAATCTCTCCCAACTTTGGGCTCACATTATGAAATATCAAATAAAAAGACAAATGAGACTACGCCAACTTATACCTGGTCCAGATTCTTGTCCATAACTGAGCCCTGAAGTGTGCTTGGTGCGGACTCGCAACGTCTGTGCCCTCTGCTGACGGGCCATATCGCACGTCTGATTTGGATGCCATATTTGCTTGCAGTGGTAACAGAACTCAGTCTGGCAGCCTTCCCTCTCACAGGTCAGCTTTGGGCAGCTGGCACAGCCATAGGCAATAACTGCATACCTGCGTAAGGAAATAGGACGAGATATAAGCTAAGACATTATGCATTGGTTCCAGTGGGGTAACACTGTTTGGTGTCCCCCACCACTTCATTCGGTATAGAGGAAAGAACACACATATGTGTAACACACACACATATTCTGTGTGAGAAAGTAAATTTCTTCTCGAGATTCTAAAAATACAAATTACTTCCTGAAAAAATAGGAAAACATCATATTTAGCCAGATTTTTTTTTTTGCCACGTTGAGTGGCACGTAGGATTTTAGTTCCAACCAGAGTTTGAACCCATGTCCCCTGCAGTGGAAGCACAGTCTTAACCATTGGACTTTCAGCCTGAATTCCTAGCATGTATTCAGTCATAGTTTAAGCTGTTTTGGGAACAGTCTGTCATAGCAAGTTTCATAAATAAGGGTACAAAACGATTTCCTTTTGATGGTTTGCTATATTTAGAGAAATCAGAATTTGTTTAAAGGACAGAATATTTGTATAATAAAGACCAATAGAAAAAACTAAAGCAAGTATACTTTTTATTTATTTATTTATTTTTTAGCAAGTATACTTTTTAAAAAAACTGTGGTATAGTTCATGTACAATATTGTTTCAGGTGTTCAACAATGATTCACAATTTTTAAGCTATATTCCATTTATAGGTATAAAATTTTGGCTATATTCCCTGTGCTGTACTATGTATCTTTGTTAACATTTTTATACATAGTAGTTTGTACCTCATAATTCCCTACCCCTGTCCTGTCTATCCCATATCCCTTCCCTCTCCCCGACTAGTTTGTTCTCTATATGTGTGTGTCTGTTAATACTCACTAGTTTGTTTTATTTTTTTAGATTGCACATATAAGTAATATCATTTATATTTTTCTTTCTCTGGCTTATTTCACTTAGCATAATATCTTCTGGGTCCATCCATGTTGGTGAAAATGGCAAAATTTCACTTTTTATGGCTGAGTAGCATTCTATTGCATATGTATACCATATTTTAAAAATCCATTCATCTGTTGATGGACACTTACGTTGTTTTCACATCTTAAAAGTGAAAGTGAAAGTCGTTCATTCATGTCTGACTCTTAGTGACCCCATGGACTATATACATAGTCCACAGAATTCTCCAGGCTCTGGAGTGGGCAGCCTTTCCATTCTCCAGGGATATTCCTAACCCAAGGGTCAAATCCAGGTCTCCTGCATTACAGGCAAATTCTTTATCAGCTGAGCCCACAAGGGAAAACCAAGAATTCTGGAGTGGGTAGCCTATCCCTTCTCCAGCGGATCTTTCCAACCCAGGAATTGAACCAGGGTCTCCTGCATTGCAGGCAGATTCTTTACCAACTTGGCTATCAGGGAAGTCTTATTATCTTGCCAATTGCATATCTTGGTAACTTTCATATTTTGGCAACAGCAAATAATGCTGTTATAAATGCTGCTATTAAGGTGCATGTATCTTTTTCAATTAGTGTTGGTTTTTTTTTTTTTTTTCTTTCCAGATAAACACCCAGGAATGGAATTGCTGGGTTCCAGGGGCTTTGCAGGTGGCACTAGTGGTAAAGAACCTGCCTGCCAATGCAGGAAACGTAAGAGACACAGGTTCCATCCCTGGATTGGGAAGATCCCCTGGAGGAGAGCATGACAACCCACTCCAGTATTCTTGCCTGGAGAATCCCACAGACAGAGGAGCCTGGCAGGCTACAGTACATAGGGTCGCACAGAGTCAGACACGACTGAAGTGATTTAGCACGCACGCACACATGGTAATTCTATTTTTAATTTTTGGAGAAATCTTCATACTGTTTTTCATAATGGCAAAACCAATTTACATTGCCACCAAAGGTGTATGACGGTTCTCTTTTCTCTGCATCCTTGCCAGCATTTGTTATTTGTGGCCGTGTTGATGATAGCCATTCTGATAGGTGTGAGATAACATCTCACTGATTTTAATTTGCATTTCTTTGATGATTAATGAATGATGCTGAGCATCTCTTCATGTGACTGTTGGTCATTTGTATGTCTTCTTTGGAAAAATGTCTATTCAAGTCTGCCCATTTTTCAACTGGACTGTTTTTGTTTTTTTGATGTTGATTTGTATGAGCTGCTTATATATTTTGGATATTAACTCCTTATCACTCATATCATTAGAAAATATTTTCTCTCATTCAGTAGGTTGTCTTTTTGTTTTGTCAATGGTTTCCTTTGCGGTACAGAAGCTTTTAAGTTTAATTAGGTCTCATTTATTTATTTTTTTTAAAGAAATACTTTTTCAAAAATTTACTTATTTTTTCTGGTTGTGCTGAGTCTTTGTTGCTGTGCACAAGCGTTCTCTAGTTGTGGTGAGTGGAGGCTCCTCTTCACTGTGGTTCAGGGGCTTCTCACTGTGGTGGCTTCTTTTATTGCAGAGTACACTCTCCAGGGCATGGGCTTCAGGAGTTGTGGTATGCTGGCTCAACAGTTGCAGCTCATTGGCTCAAGAGCTTGGGCTCAGTAGTTGTAGCAAGTGGGCTTAGTTGCTCTGGGGCATGTGGAATTTTCCCGAACCAGGGATCAAACCCATGTCCCCTGCATTGGCAGGTAGATTCTTATCCACTGTACCACCAGGGAGGTCCAGGGATCATTAATTTTTGCTATATCCTCTGCTTTAGGAGACAGATAAAAAAAAAATATATTGCTACAATTTATGTCAAATAGTGTTCTGCGTATATTTTCTTCTAGGAGTTTTATGATTTCAATCCTTTTTCATTTTTAGGTTTCACAGTGAAGCTGACCTGATGACAGACTGAGAGACAACTGAAAGCTCACTTTATCTTTCCATTATTTCTTCCAACATGAACGTATACCTTGAAATGTCTTCTTTCTTGACAGGTTCCAGAATCCAAGAACACCACTCATCAGTCTTGTTAATCAACATGGAATATGGCCATTATTTCCTCCTAATCCTTTTTGATACATATTCTTAGTTACGAAACACAATTCAGGATCTATCAGCACCAACCAGCATTAACTAAGTTTCTTACAATTTATGTTTATTTACCAAGAATTATTTTCCTACAAACAATCCAATGTATTTACAACTATTAGCCTTTCTAACTCTAAAAATCTCAACTAAATGCACAGGCTACCCTAGTAAGTGGACGCATTTAAAATAAGAATTTTTTTAAAAAAGTAATTTAAACAAAGAAGGGAAGACAGCAGTAGTGAAAGTTCAAACAATTTTTAGACAAGTCAATGACTGCAGGCTTGGTGTTGTCATCCCCTATGCCATGCTCTCCTCCAATAGCCAAAGACCTCAAACAAACAAAATAATAGCATTTTCTTAGATCTAGTTTACAGTTTGCTTATTTGATTGTACATTAGATATTTATGACAGCAACTTAAGTTCCAGGCTTATCATAGATTCTGCAAGTTGATTTGAGAATGACACTGAAAATATCAATGACAAGGTTTCATCTATGTTACATAACACAGGCTGTATTAAAACCCTTTTCAGAAAGAGCAAAGTGAGTTCAATGTATAAATGCAAATGATTCATATCCTGTAGGAGTTCTGAGCAAATTTATCCCACCGAGTTGCAAAATAACTACTAAGGATAAACAATATTTTTCCTGAAGAAAGTGATTTGCTTGCTATTTTGTGTTAAACAAGAAAGGTACTAGGTGATTTCAGAAAAAAGTATTAAGTCAACATCAGACAAGACAATACAAATTAGACAGACTGCCAGTCAGGAAGCCTTTGAACATTTCATGATATATTTCTACCTCACATAGTGGGAGTAATATTTATTAACAGATTTTTCTCTCTCTCTTTTTTTAAAGAACATTTGATAGGACTGACAATATCAATTTTGGGTGTGGAATTTTGAAGGAAGTAAAATAACCTCAAATACTCATGAACCTACAGCAACCTATTATTGTGACACAGAATTACTCAGGGCACGAGACTTGGCATTCCAGTTTTTGGGTGCCTAGTCTAGGCTCTTTGCCCCTGACTCATACTGCATGACACTGAGCTAATTAAAATCTCCAAACTTTAGATTCCATCCCTAAAATGGAAGTATAGGTGTTTGCTGCTTTCAAGTATAACTAAACATGTTTTAAAACTGCACTTGAGACCTTGCCCTGAAAGTCATGGTATAAATACACGGCACATACTGTCCCACTTCCTGGCCTCTGTACACCCTGTTACTCTCTGCCTTGAAACGCCCTTTCCTTACTTCTTGCCCTGGCAAACACTAATCCGTTTAAGAACCAGCTCAAATGTCATCCTTTCTATAAAATCCACTTAACCTCTCCAGGCAGTTGGTTGCCCACTTCCTGTCTGTGCATAATTACTTCACAATACTTAACATATTATACTGTAAATATGTTTATATGTATGCTTCCCCCAACCAGACTAGGCAAGGAAAAATACCATTTTTTAGTCTCCAGGGTCTAGCACCCTGATTCATGCTTAAAACACGTGTTTTGAAGGAATGATATAGAGACCCTCTCCTCTTCGGGTTTTTTTTACTTTATATTGGTCCATTACATTTCCCTAAAGCAATCTTTTAAACTTATCTATGTATCTATTGATTTTCTATATGCTAATTACTATAACTTAATCCTAAAATTCTGTATAAGCCCTTTTGAGGAGTAAATTCCTAAATTCTGAATAGGGCAATCTCCTACCTTAGGTAGTCAAAAAAAGAAGAAAAAAAAAACAAAACTATTTTGTTCTTTCTCTTCTCTAGCCTACATTGGAATCTCTCTCCTACTCTGCTTTCTTAGCTCAACAGAGCATTGAGTATGGCAAAAACCACTACAATATTGTAAAGTAATTAGCCTCCAACTAATAAAAATAAATGGAAAAAAAACCAACAAATCTATGTCCTAGAAAAATAAATAAATAAAAGTAAGGTCTAGGAAATTACACGATGCTAAGAAAACAGAAGCATCCTTTCTCCCTCTTAAGTTCATACAACTTTTATTAATTTTGTCAATTTGCTATCTTCAGAAACATTATAATGT